TAAGTGGATCCAGGGCGGATTCCTGGGAAAAGGGGGAGGGGAGGGAGCGGGGTTCCTGGAGCGAAATGGGGTCACAGGGGACGAGGAGGTGAGTCCCTTCCCATTTTGGAACTATATGAAAATTAGGAATAGGGTTGTAATACTGCTACTTAGAGTTACCTTAGGCTTTGGTTAATTTTAGCTTTAGACCCAGAGTTTTGCAGTACAGATGCCTGCGATCACGTTGCTAAGCAGTCTCACTTAGAGATGTCTAATTTAGGTTTTTTCCTTCGAACGAAACAGCAAAGATTCTTTGCTTCAGCCAAATCCAGTAGAAGCAATTCAGAACACTAGTGACTTTGCACAACTGAGATGGTCGGTCAGCATGAAAGCGATAGAAATCGTTGGAATATCATGTGTTAAAGAGCTAATAGGTGTTGACTGCTACAGGGGAATACTTCCAGCAGCCACTGCTCCCTTATTACTTACCAAGTAGCATGCAACTTTTTATTTCAAATTTCTATTTTAGACCTTTTTCAAGTGCTTAATTCAAGTCGTCTTCAAACATACTTCCCCGCCTTTTTCTCCTCTCCAATCTTGTAATCTCCTATCTTCTCCACTCCTCTTTTCCTCTTACGCTCTTCTCCTACCTCACTTTATATGTTATCAACTTTTCCAAATGGTGGATTGGGGGCTGCACTGACGATTCCTACCCCAATCCACACCAAATACTGACTGTGTTTGCAGCTTAGGGATGAAACACACATAGCCGAGTGTACATTCAGCCTTCACATAGGCCCTTATTACATCTCCTGAACATTTTTTCACAACATATGCTCTGCACTATCTCTTTTCACATCTTGTTTTCTTGATCTTTCCTTTCATTTCGTTCAAGCAGTTTTGCCTTTTTCGATGCAAAAAGTGTAAATTAAGGAAGAAAAAGGGACCTGATGCTGCGCGCATCACTCGCTCACGTTCCTTTTTTGCGCGAGATCTCTTCTGATTATAAGCACGCCGTTGTTCGGGCGTCATCCGTTGATATCTTCAAAGATAACATATATTTTAAGCCGAGGTGGTCAAATCACTGCCCAAAACTCTTTTTTTTCAAATAAAAAATTTTATGCGGGCTCCCATCTGACAAAAATGTTTGCTTTCACTTAATTGTTTTGAGAGAAAAAAAAAAAAACAAAAAAAACTGGAATTTACCGCAAGCGTGCAGCTTCGGCCCTCTTCGCATTTCGAATCATAATTTGTTGTGCTCTGTTCAGCGCTTCGGCACTTATGCGTCCAGCCGGTGTTGATAGCAGGAGTTCCTCCTCAACACGCCGCCGACGGAAAGCTTCCGTACTAAAAATTTTCGATTTTTTGACTTAACAAAAGCAAATCATACAAAAAATACGAACAAAAATAAGTGAAAGGAAGGCTAATAGTTAACAGGAAAGTCGGAAAATCCTAACCAATAAACGTAAAATATTCATTTTAGTGAAAAAAGCAGAAGAAAGATGACTGGAATGTGAGGAGTTTGCAGTGTGCCAGTAGAAAATCAGACTTC